AAGTCGGTCTTGAAATCTTGGGCGATTTCACGAACCAACCGTTGGAATGGCAGTTTGCGGATCAACAGCTCGGTCGATTTCTGGTAACGACGGATCTCACGGAGAGCGACTGTTCCTGGACGGTAACGATGTGGCTTCTTCACACCTCCGGTGGCTGGAGCGCTCTTACGAGCGGCTTTGGTGGCAAGCTGTTTACGTGGTGCCTTTCCACCAGTCGATTTACGAGCGGTTTGCTTGGTACGAGCCATTTTACTTCTTCTTCTTCTTCTTCTTTTTACTTTACGATGCTAGCACAACGAGAGTCAAACGCAGAATGAACAAATGCGCAGAGAATGTGCACTCTATTTATACTGTTTGACGCAGGGGAAGCGACGCTACGATCGCGTCGTACGTGTGTTGTCGTCAATATTCTCATTTGCTCTTTGAATGAGGATTTTTTCTGTTTCTTTTTTTACTTTTAATTAATTTTCGATAGAAATTGTTCGAAATAATAAAAATGTAAAACAAAATCGCTGAAATTATCATCGAAAAGTAATTTTTCATTGCACGAAGGAGAAGTATTCTGGCGCGCATCGTACGATTAATGTGGTAGTGGGGACGACACGAGAAGTGTATAAATACGGTGACGCTTCAGTAGCAGGAATCAGTTCGAGTTTGTCTCTCGTCGCGGAAAGAACTTTGAAAAATCCAAATCAAAATGACCGGTCGTGGTAAAGGAGGAAAGGGATTGGGAAAAGGTGGCGCCAAACGTCATCGCAAAGTATTGCGTGATAACATCCAAGGTATCACCAAGCCAGCCATCCGTCGTTTGGCTCGTCGAGGCGGTGTCAAGCGTATCTCAGGCTTGATCTACGAAGAGACTCGTGGTGTATTGAAAGTGTTCTTGGAAAACGTCATTCGTGATGCCGTCACATACACCGAACATGCCAAGCGCAAGACAGTCACCGCCATGGACGTCGTGTACGCTTTGAAACGCCAAGGCCGTACTTTGTACGGTTTCGGTGGTTAAACGCATTCCCGATCTCAACAAAAATTACAACAAAATCGGCTCTTTTCAGAGCCACCAAATCATTTTTATGAAGAAATTTAAAAAGTCCAAACAATCCATTCTATTAAGTTGAGCATTTGATTCATATTCCAATAGAAAGAGAGGATCAAACCGTTTTATGCGTGAAATTTGTATCAACGTAGGCATCGCATTCAAATTAAATGATGTTATTTCATTTTTCTTGTTAACATTTTTCGTGTTCAACCAAATTGCAACATATAATCAATCTTATTACGTTCGCCATATGGATTTGGAATTCAGAAGACTATTTTTGAAAATAAAATGATTGAATATTCAGCGGAGAAAATGAAACTTGCAATGTTTTCATAGGATAACAAACTAAAACCATGCATAAAATCAAGTGATTCGGAATGAGTGCTTTGCGATTACAAATAAAACTGACAGAATACGAAAAAAATGTTGTTTCCATACTATGAAGCGCATATTGGGTAAGACAAGAAAAAATGCGCAGTAACATAACATGACGTTAAACAATTTTTTGTGTGTCTCAATGATGATTCAGTTTTGAAAACGAAATGATTAACTTTTGGTCTTGATTGATGTATCGTGAATGATGATTTTTTTGTGAATTCTTTATAAGATATTTATTTGGTAGCTCTGAAAAGAGCTGTTTTTGTCTCGAATATCGAGGGATTTTTTATGACAGTCACTGACTGTGAATCGTTTATGCTTTTGGTGCCTTGGCAGCCTTTGGTTTTTTGGCTGCAGCTGGTTTCTTTGCAGTTTTTGGCTTTGGTGTCTTTGGCTTCTTTGGTGCAGCAGACTTCGATGGTTTGGTTGCCTTTTGCTTTGATGGAGCCTTCACCTTTGGCTTAGCCGATTTCACTTTTGGTGTACCGACTTTCTTCGCTGCTTTGGCTTTGTCCGAAACGGCTTTCTTTGCGGCTGGCTTCTTCTTGGCACCTTCCTTCTTGGCAGCTGGTTTCTTTGCTACCTTTGGCTTCTTCGGTTTGTCGGCCTTTGCTTTCTTCACCGGCTTCTTCTTTTCGACCTTTGGCTTGAGAGCGGCAGCCGACAATTTGAATGAGCCGGATGCGCCTTTGCCTTTGGTTTGAACCAATGTTCCCTTTTCGACTGCACCCTTCAAGTACTTCTTGATGAATGGAGCCAATTTCTCGGCATCGACCTTGTTGTTGGCAGCGATGTACTTCTTGATTGCTTGCAACGATGAGCCACCGCGTTCCTTCAATGCTTTGATTGCGTCGTTAACCAAAGTGGCTGTCGGTGGGTGGGTTGGTTTCGACGCTGGCTTCTTGGCTTTTGGTGCCTTTGCTTTCTTGGCAGCTGGTGAAGCGGCGGCTGGAGCTGCTGCTGCTGCTGGTGCTGGTGCTGAGTCGGCCATTTTGTTTTCGCTTGGTTTGAGTAGTCGCTTTGTAGAACGTTTTGTATACGAATGTATGAGATGTACGCACCGCGTCACTTGGTACGTCAACTCGGACCGTTCCTTCCGGAGCGCATCGATCAAAATTCGCTGGTGTGCCAATTGGCGGTAGTGTAAATGTGATGAGCTCCGAATCTTTTTGCGCATGAATTTCTTCAAAAATTCATCGTGAAAAACGCGTTTCGCATTCTCACCACATTAAGAAGGAATAAATTTACGAAAAAAATGTAAAACAGGATGCATTGAGCATTCAGAAGATTCACAATGACGATTTAAAGGCGAAATTCCGAATCATTTGTTGCCGAATAATTTTTTAATTTGAAAATATTTCATTTGTTTTTCATCAAATTTCGGAATCGTCAGTTTGTGACATTGCTCACATCATTCATTTTCAAGGACAAACAGAGAAATTTTCAAAAAAAATTTCATTTCTTCCCCATATTGGGTCAGACATGATGGTCGAAATGTATGAATAGACTCTCGTACAACGCATTCAGTGCTAACGATGCACACAATTCCAAAACCACCAAGAATAAAAAAAATTACCAAAAATGTTTACATTTTTTGTTTGATATTTTCAAGAAGACGTAGATTTCAATAAAAAAAAATCAATTCATGTTAAGTTGAAGAACCAAATTTGCTTAAGCAGTCGAAATATGTGACACTCACTGGTCAGTGTATGTGACTTTTGCACAACGCTATGGTTCTATACTGAAATGAAGATCATTGAGATATTTTTCTTTTCATTTGTGGTAAATAGATC